TTCATCAGTTTGAGCTTCAGTTTTCTTACCTATAAAATATGTATAACCATACTCACATCATAAGGTAAGCACTAAATAAAGTAAGCTATGTGAAAAACCTAGCCCAGAACTTGGTGTTTAATACGCTCTCAAAGTTGTACCTGTTACTTGAATCTGAAATCAGAAAGCTCAGAGAAAATTGAACTCACCATCACTCCCGCCCCCAAACTGCTTCTCCTCCTGGGTCCTCTCTCTTTACCAGTTGACTAAGTCGAAAACCCAGAAGGTCTTCGTGTCTCCTCCCTCTGCTGCCACATCTAATCTCACCCCATCCTGTATTCCTGTCCCACCCGTCCCCTTCTGTACTCCACGGCCACTGCCTCCCCTGAGGCCGCCCTCCTCTCTCTCCGGGTCACCGTGGGCCTCCTGCTGGCTTGCCCGCCCTCCGATGCTCTCCACATCGCAGCCAGAGGAGCAGTTCACTTACTAAAATCCTCGTCCCCTTTGCAAACAGTCTGTTCGTAGCATGCAAACTCCTTCACGATCTCAAGGAATATAATTGTTACTTAAGCTTTCAGCCTCAAATCTCACCATTCCTCTCTTTGAAGACTCTATTCTAGCCGCAGGAATCTACTTTCATTTCCTGATCAGGTCATATCTCGTCTTCAACCCAGCCTTCTGCACGTCCTTCACAATTCAGCTCACCTCCTCTGAGAAGCCTTCCAGGCTGGGTTACGTGTTCCTTGCACATGATCCCTGTTCCAGGTGGCACTTAGCACGTTCATACTCCTCAGTCTCCTTCACCAGCCTGTGCATTCCCTAAAGACAGAGGTATTTCTACTCATTATGTTCTCCTTATACATAGCGTGCTCAAGAGTACATTTAAAGTGGGGCTGGCCCCATGGCCGAGTGGTTGGGTTCGTGCACTCCACTGCAGGCGGCCCAGTGTTTTGTTGGTTCGGATCCTGGGCGCGGACACGGCACTGCTCATCAGACCACGCTGAGGTGGCGTCCCACATGCCACAACTAGAAGGACCCACAACGAAGAATATACAACTATGTACCGGAGGGCTTTGGGGGAGAAAAAGGAAAAAAAAAAAAGTACATTTAAAGTGCTTAGTATATATCTGTTTGGATGAGTAAATAAAAAATCCATTAGAAAGATGCTCCATCTTTTAACCATTTTTGTGAATCATATCGCTTACATCTCTCTCTGGCTATCTTCGAAGCAGGCTTTTCAGACGTGTGATCTTGGGCAAGTTAAACCTCTCTGTGTTTAAGTTCTTGTCTATAAAATGGAGATGACAGTAACACCTGCCTCGTAGGGTTATTCTGAGCATTAAAAGAGTTGATCTGGGGGCTGGTTCGGTGGTGCAACAGTTAAGTTCGCACGTTCCGCTTCAGGGGCCCGGGGTTTGCCTGTTTGGATCCTGGGTGCAGACATGGCACTGCTTGGCAGGCCATGCTGTGGTAGGCGTCCCACATATAAAATAGAGGAAGATGGGCACGGATGTTAGCTCAGGGCCAGTCTTCCTCAGCAAAAAGAGGAGGATTGGCAGCAGATGTTAGCTCAGGGCTAATCTTCCTAGGAAAAAAAAAAAAAAAAAGACGATGCATGTAACCCATTTAGAACTGGCACCTGGAAGTACCCACGAGCTCTCAGGAATTGTGAGCTGTTATTATTATTGTCACTGTTGTTATTTTTGTTAGTACTATTAGCCTATAAAGCAGGACCCTTCATGTTTGACACCTGTCATGAACCAGGCGGCTCAAGACACGTTTCACAAGGTCACAAGTTAAAGAACTGAGGGAACTCAAAAGCCCAAGGTCACAAGAAGAAAAGTCAAGAGCCCTCATCCTCTCCTGTCCCCACAGAAAGGCCTGCTGAGACCAGACACACTGCTCCACACATGGTGGTTAAAGGTTGCAGGCGAGGGGCCACGCTGTCTTGTCACACTCTCCTCTTACAGGATGATCATGAGGGCAACTTTGTCAAAAGAAAATAAGCAGCCTGCCTGGCACCAGGCAGTGTGGATTTGGGCATCAAGTTTACAGGAGTTGACTGGGAAAGTCAGCTCCCCTGCAGCTAAGGACCTCGGGCACTAGGAAACGGCAACCCCTTGGACAAGAGGAGGAAGCCACTAGTCCCACAGGAAGCTGAGTTTGGTCCAGTCTCAGAGAAGAGCAAGTCCCTGCAGCCAGGCGACCAGCGTGAGGTCACGAGATCGTTTTGGACAGCGCTGCTTGTTGCACCAAGTTTTTATTAGTGTTTCCTTCAGAGGGGACTTCAGATGTTCACAGTGGTGCCTTGAATCCATGTGGGGTGCCTTCAGGCTCCAAGCATCCTAAGGATCTGCCCCTCTATCAAGGAAAATCCAAAAATTTCTTCTAATAGCTCTTCTTTAGGTCATCAGTGTTTATTCATGTGTCACGCGCTGTACTAAATGATGAGAATGCAAAATCTAGAGAAATAACTTCTGCTTTCAAGTATGTATAGCCTTAGGGGAAAGGACGATGAAAAAATTACGATACAAGGTAACAGATACAGCAATAGAAGAGTGTCCAAGACTTGGAGGCATTCAGAAATGACTGTATTTAATCAGAGGTTACATTTTGCAAACTGGGAAGTAAATATGTTTTTGATTTACCCAGAATATTAAACGTAGGATCCAAATAAAACATTGAAGGGGCTGGCCCTGTGGCCTAGTGGTTAAGTTCGGTGCACTCTGCTTCAGCAGCCTGAGTTCATGGATTCGGATCCTGGGCACAGACCTACACCATTCCTCAGCTGTGCTGTGGCAGTGACCCACCTATAAAGTGGAGGAAGATTGGCACAGATGTTAGCTCAGGGCTAATCTTCCTGAAGCAAAATAAACCATATCGAAGTCCATTTATCAGATTCTATGACAAAAGATAACATGGTAATCACTCCAAAAATTATGTAAATGGTATAAAATTGGAGAGGAAGGTGTTGTATCATGAAATCCAAAAAGCATTTCTGGAGGCTGGCCAGAGGGAAAGTTTGGAAGCTAAAAGAAACTAAGTTCAAATTCCGGCTCTGCTACCTATGCTGTGTGAATTTAGGCAAGTTTCATAACCTCTCTGAGTCTAGATTTTCTCACTTAAGAATGAGCATAATAGTAACTACCACATTGGGTTATTTTAAGCAGTAAATGAAGAAAAATATGCAAAGCACGTAGCACATGAGGGATACTCCACAAAGGCAGCTAATTTTTTTCTCAGAAAATAACCTCGCTTGTCATCTATATTCTGGGCATGTAGAATTAGTAACTGTGGCAGATTGACTAGTGAGCTCTCCTAGGACGGGATGTTAGAGTCCTTCTCGGTTGCTCTTGAAAACTACTTATAGTAGTTCCGGTGCATTACAAGCGTTTTTACACACATTGACTAAAATGTGTTGCAAAATGTCTTAAAATCCAAGCCTAGTTGGTAGCAAAAGTAGTCAGAAAACAGACGAGAAAAGTTCCTGTTCAGTAATGGAATATAAAATGAGGGGAAAATGCTGGAGTCTCGACAGGTTAAAGTGTTCTGGTCGCAGAGCCAGCGAGGGGACTGTGAGAAAGTGCTGCCTCTGATGGAGCTAACGCGATGGCTAAGAGCTTCCGGAAGCCACGTTACTGCTCCCTTCACACCCTGCCTCTGCATGAATTATGGATATTTCAGAGTCATGTCAAGAAGTGTCAGTTAAAAAAGAGATTAAAATAAGATGCATTTTTTTAAATTACAGAAAGCATGCAGACGATGCTACAATAAAGAGAGTTTTTCTGTCAACAACATTAACACCTGCATTTTGATGTTTCTGTGGTTGATGGAGGGCAGGGGTTAGGTCAAATTGTACCTGTAATTAAATATTAGTCTCTTCCTCAGTTTTCCCACCTCAAAAACCGGGAAAATAAACCCTTTCCTTTGTCTTTCTCCCAGAGATGGTGTGAGAATAAAGGCTGACATGAATACCTCTGAATACCTCATTAAAAAAATAAGCTCCATAAACTCAGGGTCAGTTTTATTGCATTGTCAGGAAATTCCCAGGTGAGTCATATATTAAACAGATGAGTATCCTGCCTTATCTTGTATGTGATGTCCTGAGCCTAAAAAAAAGTGCTTGCTGTCATCTTGTTACTCTTAACTTGGACTCCTTATAGAGATTCCTTTCCCTAGCGTCCCGCAGGGTAGCCACTTGCCGCATGTGGCTGTTTAAAATTTAACTTCAATCAATTAAAATTAACTAAAACTAAAAATTCAGTTTCTCAGTCCTGCCAGCCACATTTCAAGTGCGCGACAGCCACCTGTGACCCCCTGCTTCCGTGCTGGACAGAAAACATCTCGTCAGCACCGAGGGTTTTGGAGAGCGCTGGCCGGAGGATGCTCAGGCTGAACACTCCTGCTGCTGGCCACTGATAGCGTTTCAAAGATTAAATGACCCTGGAAGTCACGAGAGGACTTCACAGTTACGTCAGTGTCAGACTAAGGGAAAGCCTGAATAAGTAAGAGGGATTAAATAGGCAATAAAGAAGGAAGAAGGGATGATGGCTGGAAAAAGAATGCACACTCACATTATTGTAAAGGATAAAAATTGATTCAGTAATTCCGTGCTTTGGCACAAGTACAGTTTTACGGAAAGCGTTTGTCGCATGTGGTTTGCACTGAATGCGTCCACCTCAGGCTGGCTGTCTTACGCCCTAGCTGGGTTTTGAGACATTTCAGATAAATCACACAAGAACTGTTTCTCGACATAGTGATGGAACTTAATCTCCCTTCTGTATACCACATGTTTAAGAAACGTATTTTCCTCACAGAGGGGTCAGCAGATGCTAGAGAGATACTTGCAATTCTTGTTCTCAACTTTGTATTTATCCCTGTTTGGACACTTTATGCTCACAGGTAGTTCCATGCTTCCCATACTCTGGCTTCTACTTCCTGTATACAAAGGAGTTATAATTTAGCATGAGTATTACTTATCCCGAAAAGTGAGGGAATAACCTGTGTATGTTTGCATTTAGGTCATCCTGTCCATTGAAGAAGGTTACAGACTCCCGGCTCCTATGGGCTGTCCGGCATCTCTGCACCAGCTGATGCTCCATTGCTGGCAGAAGGAGAGAAATCACAGACCCAAATTTACCGACATCGTCAGCTTCCTTGACAAGCTGATCCGCAGTCCCAGTGCCCTTCACACCCTGGTGGAGGACGTCCTGGTGTAAGATGCAGAATGTTGATTTTCCCTCTTGACAACCCTGATTTCTTTCAGGCTGTAGACAAGACTAACAGGTAGAGAGGAGAAGGTTTGCCTTGATAACCGTCTAATTGTTAACCTTTTAGAATATTGTTTATAAACTGTATTTTATCAGCTGAAAAAATGATTTATTAACATTTTTAAAAAACGTGTTTTTTTCACAAGAAAACAGGTTCCCCTTTTCTTTTCTCCACACTGAATCTTTCTGGATCACTTTCTTTCTGTTTTTTCCCGTGTGGGTCTTCGGTATTTATAGATCCCTCCTTTATTTACTGATCCTTCCCCACCTTGATAACTGGAGTTTGTGTGTCAGCAGCCCTGTAAGGTTCTCATCCAGTCCATGTTCGGTCCCTGTATTTGAACTGGCAGGCCAGGCAGGGGCAGTGTGTGAGTCAGCCAGGACCAAGGATGCTTCCTGCAGATATGATCACACGCAGCTGTTGTTACTTTCCACTCCTAAAACCAGAAAAAGGTGACAAGACAAGAAAATGAAGGCACTCGTCTGCCATTCCGTCAAGGTCAGGAGAGTTGAGGAGATCTACTCACCTGTCTCTGAAAGGCAGTGATGAGAAGAGGGAGAGGAGAAAAAAAACATTCTCGTCTGTGTCTGAAAATATCACATTTAAAATATTACTAAGTTGAAAATATATTTCCTTATTTAGGCCAAATTGTACTTAGAAACAACCAAAGCATTTCCAAAGATCCCTTTCCTGACTCAAGATGGCCAACAGGATACACAGATGCTCAACCTGAGGTCACAGGTTCAAGTCAGGGCAGGTTTTAATGACAATAGGCTGAGGGCTCTTCAAGGACTGCTCAGGCCAGGCCTCAGCTCTCAGCAGAGCACAGAAGAGTTCACCTCTAAATCACTAATTGGCAGCCTCAGTAAAGTGAAGCCAAGCATGAAATAGCCAGAGATTAAACTGTTACTCTCCCCATCTTCCCTAACGCAGGAAGGGGGAGGGGAAGGCACTTGGGGTTTATCATAAAAGCATGGGCAGTCATCGAAGGGTTTTAAGCAAGAGAATGGAGTGATCACATTTGCGTTTCTGAAAAATCCCCCTAGGGCTGATTTAGATCGAGAGTACGAATCAGGAATAAGCCTGGAGACAGTCAGTCATGTTTGCAGCAGTCCAAACTAGCAAAGATCAGAGCCTGGCTTATGAAATGGGAAGAAGCTTGGGTCAGGGGTTAAGAGATGGATTTATTGTTAGCTGAGGAGAAAAATTTGTCTTGGTCATTGTTGACTATGGAAGGAAGAGGAGAGAAAAGAATCAAGGGTATTTGTCAAGTTTCTTAGACAAGCTGGCTGATGGTGTTACTACTAAGGAAGAGAGGAAGAAGGACACGTTTTTGGAATAGAAATGAGACCATTTTGAGCAGGCCAGTTGAAGACACATGTGGGGCATCTAAGTGGAGAGGTGCAATAGGCAGTTGTATTGACAGGTTGAACCTCAGGTGAGAAGATCTGGGCTACAGATGTCGGTTTGGAGAGCCACAGCATACAGGTTGTAGCTGAAGCTCTCAGCATAGGTAAGATGACCCATGGAGAACATGAAGAATGCAACCTTTTGGAACACCAAGATTTGAAAATGAACAGAAGGAGACACCCCGAGGATACTGAGAAGGAAGAGCCAGACAGGCAATGGGGACAGCGGGGCAGGAGCAGAACCACGGAAGCCAGCAAGGGAGAGAGTTCCACGGAGTGATGTCCAGGCTCCACGAAGCTCCAGCAGAAGAAGTGAAGTGTGTCCCTGTGTTTAGCAACCAGGTGCTCAGGTGTTCACGGGCGGCCATTGCAAGAGCATTTCCAGTAAAGTTGTGTAAGACAGATTGAAACGGAGGAAGAGTGAATCTGAGGTCAGAGAGAAGAGCAATACAAAGCACTAATTTGTTTTTTCAAGAAACCTGTCTCTGAAGGGGAAGGGAAGTAGTTAGAGAAAAAGTTTCTTGGTTTTGTTTTTATATGTTTTGGTGAAGAGACGGGCATGCTCTAACAGTGAGGAGAAAGAGCTAGTAGAAGTGGACTGTGGAGTGGGTGTGCATTAATGGAAGAGAACCCTGGCATCTCTAAACTGAGGTCCCCTCATCTGGGCCTCGTATTGTGGTGCGGGGTACCAGACCTCGGCCAGTGCCCGTCTGCAGAGCTCTATAACTTTCTAGGAGTGTAGAGGCAGGCAGGTAAGAGCCTATTCTTTGAAGAAAAGCAGATAAAACCATTTCTTCCCTGCTTTTTCAAGATTATGAATGTTTGTCATATTTGGAAAACACTGATGGAGGATCTAAGATGAGAAAATACCAAAAAGTGAGAACGATCCAGAGGTAAAGTCAAGATGAGAGCTCGTGTCTGAGGCAGAGATTTAAGGTTCAGTGGGGTTTCACGGGGTTTAATGGGTGGGCACTGGTCCAGTGGGCAGGCCAGGGAGCGGTAGGCTCTGTGACAGCACCGCCACACAGCAGCCCAGGCGGCCGTGTTTCTTAGGGAGCGGCAGTGAGATTCCATCTAAAGTCTAACGTTGGAGACCAAGTGGAACTCTTTGTGACTGACCAGCTTCCCCTGTTTCTGATAAAGACATGTGCTGCTGCTTTTGCCCTTGATGTACTTGTTTGAGGAACAAAAGAAAGCAGGGTTCTAAGGGTATCGTGTCTGAACGTTTGTCAGCTTTCTTGTTTCCACAGCAGCCTGAGTGGGTTCCCTTGTCCACCCTTGACTCCCAGTGCCACCCACCCACCCTGTCCTTGATCCCAGAGAGCCGAGACTGTTTAGGGAGAAGAGACATGGTAGACTGAGGCCAGCAATGTTAGCTGAAGAATGCCTGGTTTGTGGTATGCTTGTAAGACTGTGGCACTGCCCCTCTACCCCCAAGTCCCAAAGCCCAGCTGTCCATCCCAGCATGATGCTGAATGAAGGAAACACGCACGGTGTAGAATTCCAGTCCGTCCTCCAGGTACCTCTCACACAGGTCAAGGGGTCCAAGGGTAGAACCCACAGCAACTCCTGTTAACTCCCCTTTACTCTCCTCTCCCCAGAGCGGCAGGCTCCCTCACCTGGCTGAACTGACGAAACTCTCTCATCCACTAGGCCATGTGTGCCCCTTGTTTTTTTTCTGAGGAAGACTGTCCCTGAGCTAACATCCGTGCCCATCTTCCTCTACTTTATATGTGGGATGCCTGCCACAGCATGGCCTGCCAAGCAGTGCCATGTCTGCACCCGGGATCTGAACCAGCAAACCCTGGGCCGCTGAAGCAGAACGTGTGAACTTAACTGCTGGGCCACCAGGCTGGCCCCGACCATGTGGTTTTTATTCCACTGTAATTGGCTTTTTCTCAAGAATTCACTTGAGAAGCTTTCGTCCTTTTTCTTGGCATAGTAAGAGGGGAAGAAATTAAGGCTACAAAGAAGGATGAAGTGAAGCCCAGAGCTTAGTCTTTTTATACTAGCATATTGAAATTTCATAACCTTACACCTGTAATCTTTCCTTCCACAAAACAGAACACCAACAGAAAACACGTCGGCCAGAGAAGGCTTTCATTATTGGATGGCTAGTCCTCTTGTGCCTGACACGCTCCCGGGGAGGACTCAGAGCTCTGTGCAGCTCCCAACCTTCTTGCTCTCTCTCTTCCTCAAGAAAGTAGATGGATATATGAGTTTTGTTATATAAAATGATATTATAAGTACAACTTAAATCCAATTGGTTGTAAAAAATAATTTGCACAGGGACCTATTAATACAGTCAGTCATCCTTTCATAAATGTGAGTTTCCAACTACCTTCAATTTCCTTCGTTCTGCAATGACGCCTTATCGCCTCCTTTCAGAGAATTGTCTGTAGCTGTCCCCTGGGGCACAGGCCCTGGGGAGAAGGCCCTGCTGAGGCCCCAGCTGCCTGAAGAACGTGTCAGGAGCAGTGCCTGGCTGTGGCCTTTCAGCCACTCTCGCTCCCTGTCCCTGAGCCTCACATCAGTCCTGTGGCTACTCTCAACCCCAAGTCACGCCTTCTCCCGTGGAGCGCAGGGTGACATCTGGGGTCGGGTAGTTCAGCAGCACAAAGCGGACTGATGACTGCATGGTGTCCCTTCACCCAGCCCTCCCTTCCCCACCCCACCTACACTGTCCCACATATTCCTTCTCCAGCTGCCTCAACCCAACCCCTGTTTCCTCAGACACTGAGGCCGACCAAGTGCACTAGGTTGAAGTCAGCTGGCCAGTTCCCTTTGGGACAGCGCTCCAGCGTACTGGAAAATAACACTCTCCTCCAGTCCCTGCTCCAGGTGCCCAGCATGTCACTGACAAAGAGTTTTACAGATTATGGGCTTCTTGACAACATCAGCTAAAAGGTGGCATCCGGGGATGGGCAGCAGTTGACCAGATGGACCAGTCCACGCTAGTCTTCTGCCTCGGAAATCACATTCAGCTCAGGCCAAGGCTCTTAGGAGTGTTCTCGCTGCCCACTGTGCCATAGGTGGAGATCTTGTAATACTTTAGCTCTTAGGAACTGAGCCACCACGTTCCTTAGTCCATATAAACCTACTGTTGAACTTTCGAGCACTTGGCTTCCAGTAACCGGAGAATCAGGAAGGTAGGGAAAAGCTCAAACCAGTCCCGTAATTAGGAACCTCTGCTTTGGAGAACTGAGTGAACATTACAGGACTAAATGGTGCCACCTCGCTTCCTCAGTTAGTAGAGCAGCTAGGATGCTGTCTTCTGAGGGCAGTGGCTTTCAACAGTTTGATAAACATCCTCCCGTTCATTTTGAAAAGCTCTTACTTACCACTACCTGAGCTGCACAGAATCAGCATATGCTAAGTTGTTTGTCTGCATAGACCTAGTCACGGTCAAATTGTTTTGTTTGATTTTTGTAACTAGCACTCTTAATGATGTTTTTCATGACTGAGAAATAACGGACTGGCCAAAACCAGCATTGTAATTGAGAGATTAGCAAAGCTTTGTGGAAGGAAGACAGAA